AGGAGAAAGAGGATAAGAGAAACAGAGATTGAGAAGGCAGGAAAGAAGATGAGGATGAAATAGAGGGAGGAGAAGTGGAAGAGAAAGGAAGGAGAGGAGGAGAGGGAGGAAAGAGGGAGAAGAAGATAGTAAGAAAGATAGAGAGGGTGAGAGGAAAGAGGAGGGAGAGGGAGAGAAGAGGAGAAAGAGAGAGGAGGAGAAAATAGAGATCGAAAGAGCAGGAGAGAAGATGAGGATGAAATAGAGGGAGGAGAAGAAGAAGAGAAAAGAGGGAGAGGAGGAGAGAGGAAGAGGAGGAGAGAAGAGGAGAAAGAGAGAGAGGAGGAGAGAAGAGGAGGAGAGAAGATTAAATAGAAATAGAGAGAGAAAAAGAGGGAGAGGAAGAGGAGTAAAGAGGGAGAGAGGAGGAGAGAAATAGAGATTGAAAGAGCAGGAGACGAGATGAGGATGAAATAGAGGGAGGAGAAGAGGGAGAGAAAAGAGGGAGAGGAGGAAAAAGAGAGAGGAGGAGTGGAAAGGAGAGGAAATGAGGAACAAGTGTTACAGTGAGAGGATGGAAAGTGAGAATGAGAGGAGACAATTTAATTTTCCTTTTTTTTTTTACTCAAAAATATTTTTAAATTGCCCACATTATGTTATTTACATATTTACATTCACATGGACAGTCTGGTGTAATAACAGATTTGCTTCGGGTGTTTTGTGGAGTGGGTAAGACTGTTTTTAGTGGCAGGATAACTATGGCTGTTGACCAGTGACCTCTGCAAATACAAGGACTGGATGGAATATTTTTTAAAAAGTGTCTCCACACGTCTCCAACACTCTGGCTCACTAGGAAATGAGGTCCTATGTCAAAAATTCTGGACAGTCCCTTTAATTATTTTCTGTAACATTTGACACTGCATGTGCATGGATAGCCAGGCTGGCCCCACCTAGTGCCTCCACTCAATTTAATTTCTCTCCAGCGACTAGGTCAGGAATCTAAATTCAATAGACGGTTTGCAAAAATCCCGGTAGTGCGAGTTCGGGCACCAGCCAATCAGTGAAGAGCCATATATTCTGTGTTGGCAACGATTCCCGAGATCAAGGATTTAAAGCCGAAACAAAGAGAATGTTTGGTGAATTTTATCAAGAGAAAAAACGTTATTGCCCTTCTTCTTATGGGATTTGGCGCATTACATACATCACGACCAAATAGCAGAGATTGGTTAAATAAAAAAGTACCCGCCTACCGTCGAGCGAACGAATCCTAATACTGCGAGGTTAGACGGTTTCTATGAAGTGAAACCGTCTGATGAATCAGCCTAGTGCATGAAGAAAAATCTAATTATTTTTTTTTTATACAGAAATCTAAAATTTTGAGGGGAAAAAAGCAAACTGCAAACTAGAACTCCATGTACCGTATTTTCCTCATTATTAGGCGCTCTGGATTATAAGGCGCACTGTCATAGGTCTATTTTCATACTTTTTTCACAAATAAACCACACCAGACTTTAAATAAAACACAACAGTGTGATGGGTCAGTGGTTTTGTTTGTTTGGCGCGTTCACGGTGGCTCTGGGCTTTGTTTAGTTGTGGCGTGTATTGAGGGTGCTGTCTGGGACCGCTGGATTGTCGGCGTGTTCGCAGTGACTCAGTTGTTCAGTTGTGTCTAGAAGTGGCACATCGTGCTTGCTTTTTTGGTTCGTTCCTCCATTCCGTTCCTCGTCGGCGTGGAGTGATGAGTGTGGCTGTGGGTGTTTTTTGCTGTGCGGTTGCTGTCTGCTCTGTGTGTGTTTGTGTGCGCTGCGGGTGGTGCGGCTTTGTAGTTTACTGAAGTCGTGTTGAGACACACGAGTGGATTCGTGTATAGGGCGCTCTGGATTGCTGGGCGCGCAGTCGTTTTTTGATGGGGTTGGAGGCTTAAGAGCGTGCCTAATAGGCAAGTTTCATTGTTGACAAAAGCGCGCGTTGCATGCTGGGAATTATTTTGGTCGGCGGCAATAAACACTAATTCAACAGGACGGACGGAGCGAGAAAGCACATAAAGGGTATTGATCCCGGTTATTTATCCACTCTAACGGCAGAGGACCAAAGACGATTTGACCAGAAATTGGTCATAAGCATCGATGGAGCCAAATCACCCTTTTCAACCCCTACAAAGTGTGGACCAAACCAAATTTCTGGTCAGAATCACCAACTACCTGGCCAAATATTCACTTCAGCGATATCCACAATGACTTGGTGGAAACTCCTGGGCCATTCACAGCAGAAAAGATGAAAACCTCCAAGAGTCTCGATGTGTTGTTGAACTTGTTGGAGTCCATGGTTTGTTAGGATCTTCTACGTTTGCTCTGCGAATGTTTGAAAGCCATTTAATTCGCCGTTAGTGGTTCTTTTCACTCAGAATACGAAAAAGACATTTTCCTTCTTCCGTGCTTCTATTTGTGCATCCGATAATGCAGCTGGAATTTACCATTATTGGGGATAAATACTCGAGGTTATGCACTGTGTTTGACCACTATCGTGTTTCTTGACTCCGACCAAAATATTTCCCAGCATGCAACGCGGGCTTTTAATAACAATGACGTCAGATGAAACTCGCCTATAGCCCGGAAAATATGGTATACATAGATATATTTTTAGTTAGTTTATTTTCTTCGTTTTTTCTTTTCTCTCAGTGTGAATGTTACTTTAAGAAGCACAAACTACTCTTATTATTAACAGAGAAAAAAAAAAAAACATAATTTGAATGAATGAAAACAGTTTTGATTAAATTCTAATGCCTGTGTTGTATTCCAGCGTGTCATTTACTCTCTCATATCCTGCGCTCCAAATGAAGAGATCTGTACTGGACAAACTCAGATAAGACCATTCATTTAGGCGCTGATTAAAGAGGACTCAATACCACAGCCCTGGTTACGGCGTTACCACGGAGACGGAGCATGCTCATTGGTTATCCGTGGTATTGGCTCCCAATCATAAAACATGTATCATATATCCATTTGTGTGCCCCCTGCTGGGTGGGCTGACCTCTCAAACGCTCTTATGAATAAATGATATGTACATGAGTGGAACTTGGAGGTGGAGATAATTACTTGAAATCACGTTCTTGTATTAATATTCTAGGGCTAAGGATGCTTTTTTTAAAATTATTATTATTTTAATTTTAATTACTAAGATTACATACTTGGGTCCTTCTTTGTCTGTCTCTCTCTTTTTCATTCATAATCTCTCTAAAATAACAATTTTAATCAACCAGACACACATCAACACAAAAAAATTAAATAATAAACACAAATAAAAATAGAACAGAAGAATATTTAACAAAAATTAGAACCAAAGATTAAGCCATACTGACCAAAAGCAAAGGAGAAAATCAATTTGTCACCTGGACAAAAGTTTGTTTGGTCAAAATTCAAACTTTTGTCCGGTCAACAAACTGATTTTCTCCTTTGCCATGGATTCTACCTGGACGACTGGGAGATTTTTCACACATACTGACCAAAAAGAAAACAAAATATATTTAAAAAAAAACTAAGAATAAGATAAACATGCAAACAGGACCAACTTACCAAATGAAGAACAGACAAAACAGAACAAGACAATCTGGACAGGACAAGACAAGCACTTGAAGTCCTCATCGTACCCAAAGGTTTCATACCAAAAGTATGAAGTTGCAGCCCTCAAACTTTTTGACAGGACAAACGTTTTTAACTACTGTATTTTCTGCACTATGGGACGCTCTGGATTATAAGGCGCACTGTCATTGAGCGGTCTATTTTCAAACCTTTTTCACAAATAAACCGTACCGGACTATAAGGCGCATTAAATGAAACACAACAGTTAGATAAGTCAGTCAAACTGTATTTAACTTAACTTTGTTCAGTTGTAACGCGTAAAAAAATACTGTCTGAGATGCTAATAGTCCGGTTTCTTATTCTCATTTTTTGACCTTAGTGGGAATTTTTGGGGGATTTGCTAAACTATATATTTTTGGAAAGGTTATAATATATGGAGTCAGAAAATCAATGTTTGCATTTGCCCCGATGTCATTATGGCGGCCATATTGGATTTTTAAAAAATGGTCTCCAAAAAATTCTTTTTGGAATATCTCAGCCTCTGAATAAGTTGAAATGTTGATTTTAACTGCTAAAACCACATTTTCAGGGTCAGGGAATCAAATGGTGCCAGTTACAAAGCTGTAAGACCTACCCACATTAACCCTTAGATGCATAAGTGGGTCAAAAATGAATCTAATGAAATGAAATGAGTAAATTGTTAGTGTATTCACAATAACTCATAATAGTTCAAACAGCTGGGCGATTACTGCATCCAGCACGTCCCCATCCCTTTCGTCATTATCCGAGTCAGTGTGGTTACTGTTCCCTGACAGTTCAGTGATGATTCTGGTCTTGGTGAAAGCTTGGACCACAGTTGATACTGTTCCTTAGCCCAGGCGTCCATGATCCATTGGCAGATCGTGGTGTAAGTCGCTCGGAGCTGTCTCCCTCTCTTGGTGAATGTGTGTTCTCCTTCTCTCATCCACTGCTCCCACGCAGCTCGCACTTTCACTTTATAACAGCCTTGAGTTTAAAGTGGGCGTTGTGAGCGTGTCTCTTGACAGGTGCATTTTGATATTAAGAGGAATCACAGTATGTATTACTCCACGATGCTCCTGACTACGGTCGGCGTAATACTGCAAGTGGTGCGGCTTTGTATTTTACTAAAGTCATACTAAGACACCCCAATAAGTTCATTTATAAGGCGCTCTGGATTATAAGGTGCACAGTAATTTTTTTGATTAAATCAAAGGTTTTTAAGTGCGCCCTATAGTGCCGAAAATACAGTATACAAAGTTATAATGTTAGAGAATTCTGAACCACTTTTTCAGTCCCATTTTTTGGAATGTAAAAGCAGCCTATTATTTTTTGTAGCTATATTTTAAACACAGACACACAAAGTTTTATATTTTAAAGTCTGTTTTGAATGATCCGTCTAACTCCCGGTGCTTTGTTTTGCAGGTTGCTGATCTACGGTCAGTACTGCAGTCACATGGAGAACGCCCAGAAGACCCTGGATGAGCTCATCGCCACCAGAGAAGATGTCCGCATCAAAGTTGAGGTACATAGATCATTCTACACATCTGGAATTCTATACTGAGCACTATTTTTATTCAATAACACAAACAGTACACAATATAATACTACAAAACCCTTATCCTAGCCAGGCTGGTGCCACCTAGTGCCTCCGCTCAATTTAATTTCTCTCCAGCGACTATGTCAAGAATCAAGATACACTAAACAGTTTGCAAGAACCCGAAAGTGCGAGTCCATGCGCCACCAAATCAGCGAAGAGCCATATATTCTGTGTTGGCAACGATTCCCGAGATCGAGGATTTAAAGCTGAAACAAAAATAATGTTTGGTTAATTTCATCTAGGGGAAAGACATTATTGCCCTTCTTCCTACAGGATTTTGGAAAAGCTTAATATACCAATTAGTCCCCTTAGCGGTGCATTACATACCATCCAGCGAACAAATTCTAATGCTGCGAGGTCAGACAGTTTTCAACGAAGTGAAACCGGCTGATGAATCAGGCTGCCGTAATCCCACCACACCACAGCGAAGCAGTTGGAACAAAAATGACTGATTGTCACTCGTTAAATTCGTATTTTTGTAAAGTTGCACTATGTCATTTTTCCTGACTGTCCGTCACATGCTTGCCTCCATGGCAATGTTACTGCTTTCTTCCACAGTACGGCATTAAACTCTATTGTGATTTTTCATCATTTATTCCATTCGTTTGTGCTAGCTTAATGAATAAATACATACAGACATAAATTAACTGTATGGAAAAAGGTGCCTTATGTCCAGTGGTGGAGTTAACAATTTGGGGCCCTAGACAAACTTGAGTTTGGGGCCCTGACTATAATGCACTGTTTTTTGTTTTTTTTTTATTGTCTGTTTTGGCCCATTGTTCTTGAGACACACACACCTCTATTTGAATTAGGGTCGACTGTAGACTTTTATTTTTTAGGTAGCTTATAGATAACCAGAGCTGAAAGTAATTTTAGTTTTTTGCTAGTACAATTACATTTTTGTTTACATCCATTATGCTGTGATTATGTTCAAATCTGGGTCAAGTGGACTCGTCCATTCTAATGTGAAAGGGGGAACACTTTGACAGTTAAATAGATTTGATAATCAGATACTATTTTGATGGTGTTTTTTTTAAAAACTATTCTAATTTAATGAATCATATTGAGAGAAAATCAAATTGCTGATAATGGTAAGGGCAATTGTTTGGGGGCCCCTTCAGGTTCGGGGGCCCTAAGCGGCCGCCTACTTTTTCCTAATGGTAGCACCACCTCTGCTTATGTCTCAATGGAGATGTCAATGCTTTGTCAGGAATGTTCCGCAGTATGGCATTAAACTCTTTTTTTATTTATTTGATCACAGGTGTTTTGCTAAAGAAAAAATAAATTAAACTCTCTAGCAACGTTACATGCTCAGCCCCAATGATGAGTTTTAATGCCATACTGCGGAACATTCCAGGAAAAGCATTACATAAGGCACCTTTATTTTATTTATTTATTTTAGTTTAGTTTAGTTTTATTTAGTTTTAATTTAATTTAATTTATTTTAATGTAATTACATAAAATTTAATAAAATAAAATGTTATTTTTTTTAATTTTATTTTATTTTATTCATTTCTTTCTTTATTTTATCTCAAATGAACAGAATACACAATGAAAAAACAAAACACGCAGTCATGGATAAAAACAATTAAACTAAATTTCAGTTGACAAAGAAGCTGTGATGGATTAGCAGTGAAAATGCGATGCCTTTAATTTATGAATGATTATTTGTGACAGTACAAAAGCTAATAACGCAAAGTGCTAGCGTAGCCTCGGAGATAAATGAGTCTAAATTAGCTGCTTAATTAGACGTGAACAGAACAGAGTAAACAACATTTAGCTTTTCGTTTAGTAAAATGTCACCGTATTAATAAATAAATATGTACTGTTTTCGAGTTTATTTAGTGAGTTTTCAAATGTGTGGAAATACTAGTAAATATGATTTTTTTTCTCCTGTGGTTGTTTTGATAAGATTTTAATTGTCCTGAAGGTAGAAAAAATATATTAGTAGTACAAAAATGCATTCAATATTTTTTCTTGGACCTTCACTGAATACCTTGAAGACCATGAGAGTTCCCTTCTGCAACAAAACTGCATGGACGACAGTGGCGCCAACAGTGCTTTACAGTGTTCTGTTGAAATGAGCTACCTGCTGCCTAACATAGGTTTCTGCCGCAAATCTACCATGCACATGTCCATGTTTACACGCGTAACTGGTCAAAACATACAATAAAATTAAAAGACTTTTAAAATGTGACTTGTTACTCCATTTCTGTCTCGGGAACTCAAATTGACAGGAATTAATCTGGAACAGTGCTTGGGGGGTGTGCATGCGTAGTAGCATTATGTAGCTCGTCAGTTTGAGCTACATAGCGCTACTATGCATGTGCACCGCCAAGCACTGTAGCTCAAATCGACAGGACACCGGCCCTGCCAATGAGGTGTCCCTTCTTTATTTTTCAGCGAGTTGGCAACCCTACATACGTCACGACCAAATAACAGCAATTGGTTAAATAAAAAACTACCTGCTTACTGTCGAGCGAATGAATCCTAATGCTGCGAGGTCAGACGGTTTCCACAAAGTGAAACCGACTAATGAATCAGGCTACCTCTAGTTAGCTTCCCCCAATGAATGTTGATGGCCTCACTTGTAAGGAATCAATACTTTCAAGTCATTTGCACTGCCCTGAAACTGCCGTCTAATCATCAATGAGCGTTCGTCTTTCCTTTAACTATATGTGAAGCGATGTTAGCACAAAACCATTAGCCAACACTATAGTATCATTAAAGTCTTAACGCAGATTAGACATTATCTGGGCTAACGCACAACTGATAGCGTTATTGCAAATGGTGTAACCCTGTAATTAAACCTGAGATGTGCATTAGTCCGTAGACAAGCTCCGTATCTCTGAACACAAGCCCTCCGTTTTGCAGAGGGGATGATGCGCGTGACATGTCCTAGCCAAATGAGCTACACGCCTACACATGCTAACAAAAGCAAAGTCACCCGGTGCAGATAGCTACAGAAGCGCGTTCATTAGTGCGAAAATGTGCCCATCGGCATGCTGGGTAATTGTGACACCACCGCGACACAAGCTGGCCTTGCTCCGAGCCAAACAAATAATCGGGTCAGGATGTGGTAAAATGCTAATAGTGGTGTTTATTTATGAAAGAAGAAGGGAAAAAAAGCTACTACAGCCAGTAGTTTTGTATTAAAATGCATGGAATATATATAGATAATAGAAAAACATAAAAATAGATTCAAAACAGTACATTTTTGAGGAATTTTGAACTTCAGAAATCAATATTTTACCCTAAGAACTAGCCAGGTTTCACTTTGTGGAAACCGTCTAACCTTGCAGCATTAGGATTTGTTCGCTCGACATTAGGCAGATACTTTTTTTATTTAACCAATTGCTGCTATTTGGTCATGACGTATGTAATGCGCAGCCAACGGGGCTAACTGGTATATTAAGATTTTCCCAAATCTCGTAGGAAGAAGGACAATAACGTCTTTCCCCTTGATAAAATTCACCAAACATTCTCTTTGTTCTGGCATTAAATCCTCGATCTCAGGAATCATTGACAACACTGAATATATGGCTCTTCGCTGACTGGCTGGTGCCCGGACTTGCGCTTCTGGGGTTTTTACAAACTGTCTAGTGTATTCTGATTCCTGACCTAGTCACTGGAGAGAAATGAAATTGCGTGGAGACACTAGGTGACGCCAGCCTGGCTACTCACGTGACCCTGATGACACACAAAATTCAGATGGGGGCAAGAAGTTTTTTGGTCTGCTTCAAAACACAACATAGTGGGTAACAGTGAGTACGCTAAAAGTTTGAACAGGCCGGCACAGACCCTCTGCCGTGAAAAAATAAGTCTAAATATAGGTTATGACCTGCACGATATGGAGAAGCCGGACTTTCATACAATTTGAATGATTTTCCTGGCGCTACAGTCCTTTTATTACACTGAGCCAAATAAAAGCCTAAACTATTTGGAATTAAAATCAGCCGCTGCATTTGGATAACCTAAAATAATGATAAAACGCCAAATTACAGCAATAAACTATTAAAATTAGCACCACGTAAAGCAAAAGAAAAAGCACTGTAATGAACAAATGCTGGATGGATATGTTTAAATTCATACCATGGAAAATTCCTGGAAAAGCAATAACTTCTCCTTTTAAACAGAGTCTTTTTTATTAGAAGTATGCTGATCAGACTGACAAACTGCATACAACCCTTCTTCTTTTTTTCTTTGCCTTCTTTTATCTCATATATGTTTTTTTTTTTTTTTCCTCAGGAGTGTACGATGAAGGTGCAGGAGGGCAAGTTCAAGCTGCAGGACCTGCTGGTGGTGCCCATGCAGAGGGTGCTCAAGTACCACCTACTACTGAAGGTACCACGCACCACAGCAGCGCTCACATACACCGTCACATAGTCCTGATATGGATGTGTTATTTGAGCCAGAGGTGGAAATTTCTTGTTTCATAAATAAAGATAACATAGAATTCAAAGTTATTTAAGGCATTTGGTTTAAAGTTCTAATACTGCGCAAAATTGACCCTTGAGAACTTTGTTAGACAGTTTTTACCACTTCAAAAACATACCTGGAGTTGTGTTTTGTTTCTTTCACACATGTTTGAGTATCCCTATATTATTAGTCTGTCTACATCGCCAAAGCTCAAAATGCTCTCTTCTACCTTGTGATGTCATGAAGCGGTAGTTTTCATGTTAATAGCTACTTTTTTTCACATAAAAGGTGAGGCAATAGACCTTTTTCACTATGGCCAGAAGTGCCGCGATGTAGGGTAAATGTCACTTCTGATTAATGCCTTTCTATGGCAAAATATCTGTGGAAATGTCTTGCATATTTTCCACCAGCTTCATAAATCTGCCCCATCACCAAGTCTTCATCCAACAAGGTCCACAAAGGACATATTCTGTCCATGAAGGATTGATCCACAACTATCAAGATAAGAAAGACAAAAACTTAAAGGCAAACAACGACGATGCATTAGTGAACTACTCCTGAGCAAAACTAGCATTATGGTCATGAATAAAACATAAGTAACAGAGAGATTTGTACAGTTTAAATGCTAGTTTAACATTTAAACTGCTCAAATCGCTCTATCTATGCTCATAGATAAGCACAAACCAAACGATTGACACCATTTTGGGCCATTTTTAGAACATTTTGAAGCTTCCTGGGGGGACTAACTGACCCCAATTTGACTTGTAAAAAATTGTTAGTATTTCAAAAACTAAAGCAGCACAGACTAAACTTTTTACAGCACAAAACAGCACAAACGAAACACGAACGATTGGCATAGTTTTTGTGTAGTTTTGTGTTTGATGGGGGTCCAACTTCACGCAGATGTGAGTGAAACAAAACACAACTCCAGTTCTGTTTGTGATGAGAAAATTATGACATAGACCACAAAACAGCGTAATATGGGCCCTTTAACGCATGTGTATTTCAGTTTCATGACAACAAATCAGTACTTTCACTTGTTGGACATCACAATATTGGCTGTGTTGAACTTTTTACCTTTAGTCCGTTTGAAACTCCACTGACTCCCCATTGTCCTCAGAAGTACCAATACTAACGCCGTGTATTCAATCACATATTCGTAAAGAGCTAACGAAGCCCTTCCTGTACATATGCAAATGCCCCAGCCCACTCGCTGCTCCCTCTGTTCACATATACAACCACGTGACCGCTGTAATATTCTCCTGATTAATTGACTCTCCATTATGGTGTGTTTACGGTGTGGGTGTGAAGGGAACGCGGTGTCATGTGATTGTAACGTGTGGGCTAATGCTATTCAACATCTTGGACTTCAGTTTAGTTTAGTGACACGTTTTTAAAAAGAGACATAATACGCTTTACACAGGTTTAAAGCTACCATCTGTAATTCGACTGGCTGACCCACCCCTTGTTTTAGTGTGACAGATCGACACTAGACAGACTTAAAGACCAGGTGAGGGGAGGTGGGAGGGGCCAAGTGATGTCAGGGGGGAACAGGTTTCACATCTGCCAGCTACTGGTGTAAGAAAAACAAATAAACTCACAGATGGTAGCTTTAAAGCAGACCCATTACGCAAAATTGTACTCTAGGCGATGTGCGTAAGAGTGTGGATCGGGCTGAATTTTTCTGTCTGAGCCCGACCTGAATCCGATCCGAGCCCAACAGGCATTAAGATATTTGCGTCTAAACTTGGCACAATTAAAATCACACTATTTTCACAGGCCTACTAATGACACACGTATGATATTGTTTGTGTGGCCTCTAACGGACACAGAGACGCAAAATACAAACTCGGGATGTAGCAGAAATAATGAGAAGACTTTAAATTTACCACTTTACGAGAGGTGAGTAATAAAGTGCTGCATCTCATCCACATTATCCGTAGAAATTGTCCTGCAAATAATGACTCCAGTCCACAAAACGGCTCTTTTAATCCAGTTTGAGGTATTATTTTAAAGGCGAGAGTAGTTCCTCACATGTGTCTGTTTACATCCACACAGCGCATGGATCGAGATGAAGCTGCAGATAAGCGATATTGACTCTGTACTTTATCGCCAATTTTTTACGCTTTAAAAATCATGTATCCGAAGCTCTGCAGTACATTTCACAAATAACAATAACACAGTTTTCACTTGTATCTAAACTAGAAGTGCAATAATCTGATTTTTTAAACACTTAAAAAGTCTCAAAGCGAGTCATTTTTCTGTAGACAGAAAACAGAAGACGCGCTGATGTGTCCAAGTCCGACCCGAGCCCGAATATAAGTTCTAAATATTTGTCCCGTTCGGACTTAGGTCAGGTTTCCATGATTTAATGCATTGTTTCCCAAAGATGGGTTCGTGACCCTCAGGTGGGCTGCAAGAGATTTATATATTTTTTTTGTATCAAAACAAAATCTAGTCAAGTTAAGATTACTTGAATTAAGAAAGTTTTATCATGATTTGAAACAAATTTCATTTGACAAGTAAAATGATCTGCCAGTGGAACAAGACTTTTTGTACTTAAACTATGAAAATACATCTGCTGCACTTAAAAGTGGAAAACAACAACTTTTTGCACTTAAGAAACAACAAAACAAAATCTTATGTTGCTTAAATGAATAAAAAACACTTGGTAGATCATTTTACTTGTCTAGTTCAATCAACTCAAACCAAATAAAATGATCTTCATTTAAGTCATTTTAACTTACCTAGATATTGTTTTGTTCCAGTGTAGGTCTGCAATATACAGTTGTGACACATGAGAGAGCGAGTGACTATTTTGTTCCAGTATTGTTGTTTCAATTGAATGCTGAAAAGAAAAAGAAATGGGCTACATTTAATGTCCAAATAGGCGACTTATGGATCCTTTTATTGCTCCTTCAATGAATGACTGTTTTTTATTGTTTAAAACTTGAGTAATACTAATTGTTCAGAGACACGATCACTCAGTCAACAATAAAATATTCTCATGAATGTTCAATAATGCTCAAATCCACCTTTATTTAGTGATTTACGAATAATGTTTATTGACTTGGGTCGCGAAGGTTTGTGACTTTTAAAGTACGGGTCCCTAGAAAAAAAGTTTGGGAAACACTGATCTAATGTACATTAAAAGTCAAAAGTTTGGACCCTAGACTGTATGTAAATAGACATCACTAACCCACTAGCCGCTGCATTCAAAATAAAAAGTGAGCATGGGCACGCTTCTGGCTCCATCGACTGCAGCTCCAATTCATTTTGTACTGAAAAACCGTCGCCCCTTTCTCTGTAACTGCTGCAGTGAGCCACGCAATTTTGCTGTTAAAATTATCGTATTAACTCGCTCTGCATGATCCTGGTGTTTTTAATTTGCTATTTTATCCGTGAATAAGTTCCTATTCCTCGGCCCCGAATTCGTTCCATAACTGTTCACATTTTGAGCTTCATTTGACTGGAGATGAACGTTACGGGTCACATCACACTGCCTTAGTCCACTTCTTTACAGTCTATGGTTTGCACGCAGAGTTTTGTACATGATCTGGCCTAGAGTGTCTTCTTTAGATCATGCAAGGGACTGAAACATGGAGATTTCACTTCTAGTCTCTCCAAATGGTGAACTAAAGGAAGCGGAGCCCTTTAGACATGTTTGCTTTCTGGTGGTGACCTGGATTTGGTTTGGTCTTTAGCTCTCGCACTGGTTTTCCGAAGACGAGCTTGAAGTAAAAAACAACATAGCCTAAATATTTCAGCTTGTTGTATTTGGGTGGTGCATCTTTGTACACATTGTTGATTTGTTTCTTCGCCTCAAACCTCCCGCTGACTTGATTCACTGACATGAGTTTGAGCCAATGCTGCCCAATCAAGCATGAGCTAACCCGATTAGCACAGTCCATTTCACCGCTCCTCCGCTCCGGGTAAACAGGCCTATGGGACTGAGGCTATGTGCACAACAAATACAACTGATGACCGTGGATAATGCATACAATCTATTTAATAAAAATATGAATGTGATTTCATTTAATTGAATTTGGAGATGTCTTTTCTCATAAGTAAACTGAACATATTTTTCAATGTTATTCAAGACATTTGGTAATGAATTTGGTCATTTGAAGAGCAAACTATGAGCGGCATGTAGTACTTTCATACTTTCATTTAAGTAGGACATTACATGCAAATGAATATTGTGCTTTTAGAGTTTAAAAGTCTTATCTTGACTCTTGTGAACTTTACATTTTGTTTCATTCACACATGTTTGAGTAATCCTGCATTATTATTCTAACAGCTCCTTTTACCTTTAGTTCAGTAGAAATTCCAGGGCTGAAATAATCCAAATGATTCTAGTGAAGGTGTTTGATGTTTAAAAACACAGTGGAGCCCTTCATTTAATGTACCATATTTTTCGGATTACAAGTCACTTTGGAGTATAAGTTGCACCAGCCAAAAAATGTGTAATGAAGAAGAAAAAAATATATGTATAAATCGCGCTGTACTATAAGTCGCACATTTTGGGGGAAATGTATTTTATAAAATCAGAGACCAGGAACCGACATTTCATCTTGAAAGACAAGTTATAGTCGTAACAATAGAACAAAGAACAAAAGGCTGTTAACGTTACATGAACAGCTCTTCAGATAAACTATAGCATAAACAACAGAACAGAACAAGTTTACCAAACTCTCCATCTCACTCCAAATCACTAAATCCATTCAGTTCTTCATCTTCTGTGTCACTTCTGAGCAACTCCACAACCTCTGGAGGTGAACGGAGCGCCACTTCCTCTTCTGTGTAGCTGTCTCTGACTCAGCATCAGTTCCAGTTAGAATTATTCTGGCCTTTCTGAATCCCAGCTGGATGGTTTCAGTTGTCACTGAAGTCCAGGCTTTGTCGATCCATTCAATGACTTCAGG